AAAGGAGGTGATGCTCCCCCTCTATGTGGCACTGGTCAGGCCGCAGTTGGAGTACTGTGTCCAGTTTGGGGCATCGCACTTCAAGAGGGATGCGGGGAATCTCGAGGGGGTCCAGAGGAGGGCCACTCACATGATTAGTGGCTTTCGTGATAGACCCTACAGGGGGGAGGTTGAGAGAGCTGAATCTCTTCAGCCTTCACAAGAGACAGCTGAGGGGAGATCTTGTGGCTGCCTATAAATTTATTAGGGGAGGTCAACGGAGAATAGGGGAAGCGCTGTTTACTAAGGCGCTCCAGGGAGTGACTAGGAATAATGGGTGTAAACTAGTTGAGAGTGGATTTAGGTTAGATATTAGGAAGAAATTTTTCACAGTAAGGGTGGCCAGGATCTGGAATGGGCTTCCAAGAGAGGTGGTGCTGTCACCTAGCTTGGAGGTCTTCAAGAGGAGGCTAGATAGTCACTTGACTGGGGTCATCTGACCTCGGTCCTCTTTCCTGCCAGGGGCAGGGGGTCGGACACGATGATCCATTGTGGTCCCTTCTGACTCTACAATCTATGAATCTATGAAATCCAACCCGTTACTGATTACACCCCGAAGTATAAGAATAAGCACTTGTCTATATGCCCATCTAGCTTCCTGCAACGGCACAATACAGATTTTTACCTATACCAGCTGGGGGAGATGCAGGAGGAAGGAGGACACATTAGCTTCTGAACACATGCTTCTAGGTGGAACATGGGATGTGTGGAGTTGAAGGGTGCTGAAAGGATTGTGCAGTTGGTGGGCAACAGGAGCTCGGCGGATCCCTGGGGTTGTTTGAGAAAGCTGTTGAATGTACTGTGGAGTCTAGGGTTGATTTTCAGTGGCTGGAGTTGTACTGGGTTGGTGAGTGTTTCATGTGTGTGGTGTCAGGTGTATCTGGAGTATTTGGCTGAAGGACTGGAGTGGTGAGTGGTGCATAAAGGATGTATGGTGTAGAGCAGTGCTTCTCAAAGTGGTGGTCCGCATACCAGTGCCGGTCCGTGAGCCACCAGTCGCCAGTCTGCAGCGAGTTGCCAAGACAGAAAGAAATATATTCGCCGGTCCGCAGCAAGTTGCCAGGAAAGAAAGAAATATATTTTCAGAAGCATAACATTGATATGTCATAGCGCCACAGTTCGTACGTTCCAACACTGCAGGTGACGTCACGTCGTGCGAGGTGAGGAAAGAGAAAGAAACAGCCGGTCGCGCATTTGTGTAGCGCTGTTACACGCAGTTGCTGCCACCAGCTGAACCGGGCATCGGTTCCCGGCCCACTGGAAAAAAAATTGCTGGTCCACCACATCAGATAGTTTGAGAAGCACTGGGGTAGAGGATGGTGTAGGGGGTTGGGGTTGCTAGAGGGTTAGTTTGTGTGCGAAAGGAAGGTGTGTTGAGTAGCAGGTAGGGGCTATATGAGGCTAACTAGAGTAGTTGGGAGTGCTGGGGGCCAGCACTGGGTTCCTGTCACTAGCTGCTCTTGTCCTGTAGAACCTGCAGAGGGAACTGGAGGGGAGACAGATTGTGAAAGTTTGCAGGGCGGGGGTCATAGTTGCTCCTGGTTGCAGTGGGGCATAGCTATATCTTTCACTAGGCAGCCAGATGAGGTTCTTAGTGGGGTGCCAGGGGCATGCCTTGTGTCCTCCCCAATGACTAGAGTTAGTTTCTGATATGATTGCTCCTAGGTGGACTCCAGCTGCTGGAACAAGCCCACCCAGATTGCCACAGCCCTCTACAAAGTAGACCTCTTCAATGGGCACATGGCTAGAGTCCTTCTGACATCCATCTTCGTGACCGCCATTGGGGATGTGACCGTGGCCCACCTGGGCACATCAGAGGGGCGCATCATGCAGGTGAGCTCCACAGCCTCTGAGCTCCATGGCCAGAGCTGCGTCCAGACTACTTCAGGCAAAGGGGGACAGTTCCTAGTACTGAGGATTGATGCCAACATCAGCAGGACTGTCACAGGGTGACATTCAACCCATGAGACAAAACTGGTATCTGGAGTTAGTGCCAGGCACTAACCAGGTAGACCTGACCAGGACTTTGGGACTTTGATTTGTCTGGTGGGTATGATGGGCTTGCTAAGGTGACTGGACACTAGGTCAAAGTGGGAAGTGAGTTGGCAGGGGATGTGCAAATACCTCCACCCCCTGCCAGCCCTGTGCCCTCTCAGTAGGACCCAAATTGTTCCTTTGCTTCAAGGAGCTCAAGGTACTAAGTATCAAACTCTGCTCCTGGATTCATAGCATCCTGCAGGGAGGAGGTTAGATCACAGTGCTAGGCAGGAAGAGTCATGAGTCCCTTTCAGTGCCCCCTGGTCTGGCTGCAGACTTGGCAAAGGTGCCTTGTCCCTGCTGGTGTAGCTTAGACCTACAGTGGGGCAGGATCAGCTGTTCACCAACTCCACAGTGTTAGCCCAGGGCCTGCTCTCCTCAGCCCTGACTGCTGCAATTACTTCCCCCAGGTGGTGCTTCAGAGATCCAGCTCCTACCCTGTCATCTTGACCAACTTCTCCTTGGGGGCATTGCCAGTTCTGCCTGAAGCTGGCTTGCTGGGGAACTCCCTTTTCTTTGTCACAGGCAACAAGGTGAGGATGAGTTACTTTAACCTTGGCCTTGCTGGGCTGGGTGCTCTCCAGGGGGGCTCCACTCTCAGGCATCTAAGGACATTCTGTTATTGGCGAAAAAATCCTTGAATCCTAACGAGCTTAGAACCTACAGCTGCCTCTGCCTGTGACTTGACTTCTCACCATGGGCTCCAGGATGGCAGAGCAGGAAGGGACCAATGCCAGCAGCATCAGTGCCTTCTGGAACTTATCTAGTTTTTTCTGGCCTTTTTGTGGCTGTCAAGACTGGTGTTATGCCTGTGTCTTTTCCTGGCCAAGCTCTCCTAGGGGTGGGAGGGCAGTGTGTGGAGAATGCCCGGGGCTGCCTGCAAGTTCTGCACCAGCCCCTCTGTGCTCTGTGCTAACACCCTCCTTTCTGTATCCCAAGGTGTCACTTGTGAACATTACTGGCCCAGGCTGCCAGCACTTCCTGACTTGCCAGCGGTGCCTGCAGGCAGAACGGTTCATGCGCTGTGGCTGGTGTGGGGGCTCATGCACACGGCAAGAGGACTGCACAGCAGCTTGGAGCCAGGAGAGCTGCTCCCCCGTCCTCAAAGATGTAGGTCTCAAGGGTCTTCTCATGCCCTCTGCACCCCAGCAAACATACCTGATGCGCTGCCCTATTTCACAGCCCGCTCTTAGCCTCCTGGGGCAATTGGTTTCTGTTCTAGCTTTCTTTGCTTAACGAGTGTTTTGATTTCCCCATGTGCTTGGAAGGTGAGGCAGAGATGACTGCCCCTGCCAACACCCACATGTCCACAACATGGCTGCCAGAAACCAGATCAGGCCCTGGAATCCCCTCTCAACTGAACACTAGGGCTGTGCAAAATGGCAACGTTTCGTTTTGATTTCAGCTTCAGTGTTTCGAAGGGACAGTGTTTCGTTTCACTGTTTTGAAGCATTGTTCCATTTTGAGCTCCACAATCCTGGGACCCTACTTCTGACAGATGGCTCAGAAATATAAGAATGCTCCTGGCCCATAGATGCTCTGCCTTCCTATGGTGGCCTCAGCCTGGTCATAATCAAGGCGAGTGTTTGGCTTCAGCCCACAAGTAGGAGCTTTTCTGTCCCTCCATAATTTTTGCTGTTCGTTTTTTTTACCCACACTAACATCTTGGTCCTGTTGCATTTTGCCAAGTTCTTCCCATCCTGTAGCAAAGAGTTCCACTAGCTAATCACTGCTGTGTGAGAAAGTTTTCCCTTATCAACATGATTAACTGTTTCCTTGTTTGCATGTGTGGAGGCAGGGTGAACTAGTGCCCCAATCTCTCCTTTCTAGACCATCCCCTTGATATGGTAATAGTCTCAAATCTTTTAATGTCTTCATGAGAGAACTTTTCCAGACCTCTAGTTGTTTGCCTCATAGCAGCAAAAATTCCAGCTCCATCCATGGGCTTGCAACTCCACTTTGGAGCCACAATTGTCTCTGGATGCTTAAGGCAGTGGTTTTTGTCTAAATCTAGGCTTTCAGGCCATACAGCCTCCCTCCTTCAAAATCTTTAGCAGCCTGAACCTATCAGGACAGAGATGTGCAATAGCAGAGCAAAGAATAACAGCCTCTAGGCCAGTAAGCATGCCTAAAAGTCATGGGGAAATGTGTATGGGACAACAACCCTGCGGTAGTGCTGGGAAAGTGACATTTTCATGCTCTCTCCCTCAACTCAGTTCCACCCCCGAAGTGCCCCATTTCAGGGCAAGACCAAGGTGACGCTTTGTGGATTGGGCTTCCAGTCATCCTCACTCTTCACGGCCTCTGTGGGCTCCCCCATCACTGACATCACCTATCAGGTGACAGTGGGACACAGGAACTGCACTGTGCTGCCTGAGGAAAGCCTGAACAACAGGTGAGGAGTGTGCAGGACCTGGAGTGTCTGCTAAGGTTGTCACCTTTAATCTCTCCCACTGGCTGAGAGGCTACTCTGTCTAAACCTTGCAGATGGCTTCTGCCATGGCCAGCTGCCATTTGAGAGTTGGGAGGGATGGACAGTTCAGCTGAGGGCAAAGATGAGGAGGCAGGGGCAAGACCCCATTTAGTTGGTGAGGAGGAAGCTCCTGGACTTAGCCAAGGACTGGCTGTGGCTTTCCAGCTCCCAGCCAGACCCAAAAGGGCTCCTTTGCTGAGAAGTGACCCCTGGCCCCTGCTTTGTGCCTGGCATGCTGTGGCCTTGGTGCTACTTCATGTCCTCATGTGAGGTCACTAGCAGCACACTGCATTGCAACAGCCCCTGCTCTGCTGTAATGTTGCAAAGCGGGTATGTTCTTCTGGGTGCTCGCTACAGAGGCTGGCAGGTTTCCTAGATACCACAACTTGTGCCAGGTTCATTCCCTAGTACAGGGGTGGGAGCCAGTCACCTTCCTCAGCCAAAGAGCAAAGCAGCCTCAAACTTTTCACCTCCTATGACATGGGCTCCTGAGCTGTTGTCCCTCTGTCTGTACCACACAAGTGCTGGGCATGATTAACAGTATCAGTGAATGCTGACTAAAACTGAGGGGAACTGGCAGAGCTCATGGGGGAGCCTGTGGCCAGGATGGTGGGGGATGTGAATCAGCTTAGAAAAACCCCAGCAATACTGTGTATGTGGATTCCAGGCTTGGGTTAGCAGGGGGCTGTAGGCTAGGACTGAGCAGCACCAGCAGAGCTGTGCGGGGAAGAATACCACAGTCTTGCTTAAATTGTGCCTTACTCCTGCCAGATTATCAACCTTCCATCTTTTTGAGCATTGCTCAGCACAGAGCCAGGCCATCCTGTTGCATTTGGGGGTGTTTTTTTAGTGAGGGGTCATACACTCTGACATGCTGAGCTCTGTTCTTCATCGGGGTCTCCCAGCATCTCCAAGAGATCTTGCTGCTTCCTTGCAGGGCTGACAAGGAGGGGAGGTCTGATTCCTCCTGTGACTGACTCCACAGGAAGCTGGAATTAGGTGTTGGTATTTGTCTCATGGGACCCCTCAGAGAAGGGCGGGGACAGTTACAAGGGGAAGTTTGTGGCCCCTTGGGAAAGAAAGGTAGAGGGGGAGGGAGTCAGCAGAGTGGGGCAGTCAGTTGTATGTCCCTTTCTGCCTCCCTCCCACTTGAGTAAGGCCAGGGGAATCTGTTCCCAAGCACAGCTTGCTGCGGAGCCTGCATAGCTTGGCACCATCTTGCTGTCTTGCAGGCCCCGCTTGTTGCCCCTCTGGCAGGACTTCACAGACGTCTTGGTCTGCAAGCTGGAACCGTCAGAGCCCCAACAGCGGGCAGTGTCTGTTGAGGTAATGCTTACCATCCTGGAGCCAATGAGGATGCGTCCCTTCTACGTCAGCGGCTCCTCAACCCTTGGAGGCTTTTCCTTTGTGGTATGTCCTGAGCTGCTCTGTACTCTGCCTACCCACTCCTGCCAACCAGCCTCAATCCCAAGGAAAATCCCTCCATCCTCCCCAATTGTCCCCCCCAAGTCCACACCCTCTCTCCTACAGGGGGCTGTGGCTGTTTGTTCTGTAGATGCATCCATTCTCTGCATGCCCCACCCTAGGTGACCTTGGGAGTGGTCAGCTGGGCTTGACAGGTGATGTCTTCTGCCTGGCTTCTGGGAGCAGGGGCCCCAGAGAGGATGGTGGGTGACATTCCAGTGGTCCCCTCCTGTGATGTCCCACTGGGGTGCTTTGCCCTTATCCAATAGGCAAGCACTGCCTTATCCTCTTGTCCACAGGAGCCCAATGTCACTTCCATCCACCCCACATTCGGCCCGGTGGCTGGCGGCACCCAGGTCTCTATCCAGGGCAGGAATCTCACCGTGGGAAGCAGCCGGAGGGTGACAGTCAGTGGAGTGGAATGCCCTCTGCTGGGGGAGGACAGGTACAAATGTTGTCTCCAGTGTTGGGACTGTCTTCCTCTAGCCCAGGGGTTGGATCTGTGTTGATTCCAGCAGGGAGTGGACCCCATCAGGTCTGATGGCCTGGACGTACCATGGATGGAGGCTGTTGGGTCGCTCTAGCAGGCTAGTATCCATCTTACACAACTCATTGGCTCTGCCCAAGTCCCTTGACAGTATGGGGGTTTATGAGCCCCCACTGCCTCCTTCCTAACCAGAGGGTCGCTGCAACACAAGCTATTATATGTTTAGAGCAGGCAGGTGATGAAATGGGGCTTGCTGCCAACTGCACTGCACCTACTCCAGAGTTCTGTGTCCCCAGCTTCTACTGCAGAGCTGTGCATGTTGCCAGACTCAAGAGCTTCAGGGGTCCTGGCCTTGGGGGGGGCTGGCTCTGCTGGGCAGCTCAGTGTCTGTTCAGGTCTTGCTGTTCTCTGTCCCCAGCCAAGAAGGTGGGATGATCTCCTGCACCACCCCTGCCAGCAGGAACCTGAGTACAGCCTCTGTGGCCCTATGGATAGACGAGGCACCGTTCCCTGTCCTGCAGCCCTTCATATACCGCCCGGACCCCATCATCCACAGCATCTCCCCAAACTGCAGCTATGAGTGAGTGTGCCCGGGTGCAGACCGTACTATGCTGCCCCTCTAACACCAGCCAGGCTTGGCAGGAACCACAGAGCTGCCACTGCCCTGAGTCCAGCAAGCCAGCTCATTTCATCATGTTAGAGCCAGGGTAGGAGAATCTCTTGGTGTCACCCTATAAGACAGTGGTTCCTAACCATTTTTTGCCATGACCCGCTACTGGGAGCAGGGTGTGGTAGCCTGGGGGTTGGGGTGGGGGAGCTCCCGGCATGCAACACAGCTTGTCCTTTGTGTGTGGCACCTCTGGCATTGCCCCCGCGACCCTCATTTGGGTTGCAACCCGAGGTTGGGAACCGCTGCTATAAGACCTGGGGTCACTGTAGTCCTTGCTTCCAGTGGTAGTACATACCTATTGGACCCCAGCCCTCACCACAAGGAGTTTGTCCACAGGGGTTTGGGCAGGATCCATAATTCCCTGTATGCAGGTCCTGCCCTCGCTTCCTCGAGTGTCAGCCCAGCCCTGCCAGGCTGCCTTGGCGTGGATGCCCTCTCAACTGGAGCCCAGGCTGAGTGCTTTGTGTGTCTGGGAGATATTTGCCCAGGTCTTGTGACAGTGACTTTTGCCCTTTTGCAGGGGTTCCAACCTCACCATCACTGGCACCCACCTGGATTCCGTGTATTACGCCAAGATCCAGTTTGATAGTAGCAGCATGAAAACACAGGCCAGAGTGAGTACCTGGGGTGGCTCTTCTTGGCTCAGGGCACGTGTCATAATTTGGTACCAGTGGATCCCAGGGAGGATTAGCTAGTCACTTGCTGGGGTGAGGAATCATGCTGAGCTGGCAGGGAAGAGAATGGCCCCAGGTGGGCAGGAATGGGTGAGAATCCACTGCACCTTCACCTAATGCTGCCAGAGCATTGCCTTGCTAACCTGCCCTTGTCTCAGTTGTGGGCTCCCCCCTCCCAACCCAGCTCAGCCAGTGTCCCTCACTCCAGACCCACAGCCCCTGGTGCCACACTCCAGTATGCTTTGCTCAGATCCTGCTAAGTTATGGACCCATGTGTATTAGGAACTTGGATGAGAACTCAAACTCATTCCACTAGTCCCCTCAGCTGTACAAGCCTGGCACATTAACATGGTGCATCTGTACCCAGCTCCCTGCAGAGACAGACCCAAGATCACCAGAGCCCAGGGTTGGGTCCAGAGTACATAAACAGCTGAAAGCAGTGCAGGAGTCCTTGGCCTGTTTCTGATGTTCTGGTGCCTCAGAAGGCCAGCAGTTCTTCTGTGGTCAGTATGTTTGATCAGCATCCAGGGGCCCCTTCCTCTGGCTGTAATCTGTGTTCTGGGCTTGGGGTGCCCACAAGCCCTCACCTCCATACTCTATTTCCTGCAGCTGTGCCAGGGATCACACTCTGCCAAGAGCCTGGTGTGCCAGAGCCCAACCTACACCTTTGAGAACAAGAGGGAGAGTGCCCAGGGCAACCTGACTGTGCTGCTGGATGGCACCCCTGGACACAGGGTCTTCCACCTCCGCTACTACCCTGCACCTAAGGCCCACGCCTTCGAGCATGATGACAAGACATACCGGCTGAAACCAGGCGATGATGAAATTGAGATACATGTATGGCATGTGGCCAGGAAATTGCAGGGTCCAGAGCATGGGGTGGTGGCTGCTGCAGAACTAAGGGGCTGGACCCTGAAGGGTGGAGGCACAACCAGGGGCGGGCAATTATTTTGCGTGGAGGGCCGCTTACTGAGTTTTGGCAAGCCATCAAGGGCCGCATGACAGGCAGCAAGGGGCAGATAAATATTAATTTTCTACATTTTTAGGGGCCCTGTGGGCCGGACAGAATGGCCTGGAGGTCCACATCTGGCCTATGGGCCACATTTTGCCCACCCCTGCACTAGTCAGAGTGAAAGCACCAGAGGTGGGGCAGAAAGGGGAGGGGCTGGCCTGCTGAGTTTGGGCTAGGTTGAGGGAGGCCCTGAGGAGAAGCTAGAGTGCTCAGGCTGTGAGCAGGGAGGCCTTGATTAGGAACTGGGGTGCCACTCCTCTGTGCCCCCTAACCCGAGTCTGTCTGTGCAGCATACTGGGCTGGACATGCTGGTAGAGTGCATGAGCATCACCATGATGGTGGCGGGCAGGGACTGCAACACTAACGTGCTGAAGAATGAAGTGACCTGCAGGATCCCCAAGGATATGAGTATCCCCATGGATGGGGCTCCTGTGAAGGTAGAGAGTGGGGAAAGGGGGGCGGGATCAAGTCTGGCCACCCTGTCTTAGCTGTGTGCTCTGGCACAGGCACTTCCTTGCTGGCACTGGCTTCAGCCCCTCTGTTCCGTCATGGCTCCAAAACCTTGGCATGTCAGGACTGTAGCAGTCCTACATGGCCTAGCACAGGGATGTCCAACTCATGTCCAGTGGCCCATGGGCCTCATGCAGCCCTCAAGGGGTTGACTTGCCCAGTTGCTGCTCCTCCAACACCTCCTGCTGCTGCTGCCAGCATCTCCAGTTTCCCCTCCCTCCTCTAGCTTCTGCTTCCTGGTCACTGGAGATGGTGCAGCACAGCCCATGCACTGAGGAAGCCCATGCAGCCCATGTGCCAAGGGAGCAATTACCCACCATGTGCCCCTCTGTGTCAGGGGGCCCACATCACATGTGGCTCAAGGGTCTGCAGCCACACAGCACATGGCCCTCATCCATTCAGAAGTTGAACAGCCCTGACTTTGCTTTCCCACCCTGCCCCGGCTCTTTGCCACACCCCTAACAATCCTGATGCTGCTGGCCAGGGCTGGAAGGGCTCTTGATGGTTCTTTGAGCTCCTGCATGGGGGTTTTTGGTTTCTCATTACCTTTGTTAGCTCAGTGGTTACTGGGAGGATGGAACAGTTGTCAGACCTCAGCATGGGGCCTCAGGAAGGACCAGGACAGGAGGCATTGACATGTAGCATATGTGTCCTGAGGAGCAGTGACATATAACCCTGTTGTGCCAGGAGTGTCCCCCAGGAGCCAGATAATGTGCCCTGCTCCCTCAGGCCTTAGAAGATGGCTTGGCAGGTTCCTGGACCATGCCCCTTTATGCCACATTCACTGGCTGGGTCATGGCAGCTTCAGGAAGATTGACTGGGGAATCTCACCTTCTTTGTGGAAGGCGTGTGCCCCTGGTACCTAGGTTATCTACTTCATTCATAGCAAGACAATGAGTACCTTTGGGCACAAAGCCCCTGGCTGGCTGGCAGTCCCAGAATAGCCTCAGCTGTGGGTGCCTAGCTTGTTAATATGTGGATGGACAGCATGGGTAGATATGGATATGTGGGGTGGTTCACCTGATCTTGCAGCAAGACCCATGAACCTCTAAGAGTGACCTCCAATCTTCCCTTCCCAGATCTGCATAAATGGAGCCTGCACAGACTTGGGCCGGGTGGTGAAAACTCCCTCTCTGGATCCTGTGACAGGCATTGTGGTGGGTGCTCTAGTGACCTTCCTGCTCTGCTGTGTCCTGGTGTTCCTGCTCCTGAAATGGAAACAGATGAAGAAAAGGGGTACTTAATTCCATGACTTTCCCACAAGATAGCTGGTCCCGCAGCACAGTCCCCACGGGCATCATGGGACATCTTTCCAGTGCCTGCCCCCTTGCAGTATCTGCCTTATAGGTGCACAGTTGGCCATCTCCACATAGAACATGCATGGGTGAATGGGAATGCCCCAGCACCCAGGTTGGGAGGAGTGCCTCCTAGCACTACAAGCCCTCTGGCCCCCACAGTGCTGCTGTTCTTTGCCAGTACTTCCAGGCACTAGTGCTGAGCTGGATAGGAGCTGGTCTGGCACAGCAGTGTTGTTCCCCCAACCCGCATTTACTTTCCAACTGTATGCTTACCTCTCCAGGCAGAGGAAGAATAAGCAGTGCCCATGGCACATGGGGAAGGGGGGTTGTGCTCTAGCAGAAGTGGGGTAAGTCCATACTGCTTATGGGGCAGGTGCCTGTGAGCGAGAGCAGCTTCCCAGTGCTTCATTCTGGGTCTGCAGGGACAGACAATCTGGAGATGCGTGTGGCTGCCAACAGGAATGCGCCCAGTGTCACCACCATGCACCCCTTTGCCAGGGACTACCGGGAATTGCAGGGTAAGGGCAGGGGCATTACAGACAGAGGGCCAGTATTGCCTGTCTGTGAGCTGTCTGCTGGGTACTGTTACTGATGTCCTGGGGAGGGGTCTCTGCAGTGACTGTGCCTGGCTCCTCATCCAGTGACCCATCACTCCCTCCCCCATGCTCAGGCAGGGGACCTTCCTTGATTTCACACTTCAGAGAGCTGGAGACTTCCTGCCCACTGGTACCCAGTACTGCCACCCAGGGAGTGCCGATACCCATTTTCTTGGCTGTCAGGCATTGTGGGACAGACACTGTGGTGGTACCCTGATGGTGAGGGGGGTTCCAGTTTCCTTCCCTCTCCCTTGCTATCCAAGATCTGAGAGCAGCCAGGTTCCACAGTGCCAGATAGGTGTGTGAAGCGGGGCAAAGGGAAGGGGGTGTGGGGCTTTGTTGATGTATCCCTGACTGCCTCTTCTCTGGTAGTGGTGCCCCCAACCACACCCCGCCACAGCAGTGCTGCCAGGGCACGGTTCCATGGTGCCTCCTTCACAGCTATCAGCGATGGTTTGGTTGTGCCACTCATGAGGGTGCCATCCTGTTGCATTGAGAACCTCCGCCCAGAGCTGCTTGTGGAGGTAAAGGACATTCTTATCCCTGAGGAGCGACTGGTCACCCACCGGGACCGTGTCATTGGCAAAGGTGAGCACCCAATGAGGGCTGGGCACTGACATAGCCCCAAGGTAAGTCTTGAAGGACTCTTACTTTTACCAGTGTCCCTGGGGCATCTGGTTTACCTGCCTTTTGTGAAGAGGACAATGCTGCCCTTCTTCGCTCGTAGCTCAGCACTTCCCTTCCCTATTTTTCACAGCCATGGGCCTCGGGGTAGCTGTCCCTTTCTGGCTGCCCCTTGAATGTGAGTGGCACTGGGCCATGACCTAGTTTGTGAGAGGAGAGAACAAAAGTGACTGGGCCTGGCTATGCTCAGGCTTCCTGCTGGCCTGCAACAGCCCTGGACCTCTTGTGGGAGGAGTGGACAGTGGCTCATGCTGCTGTTTACCCCTAGCCTTCATGGTAGAATTACTCCCCACATTGGCACCGGCCCAGCAGGGGCAGCCTGGCTAGCAGGAGATGTGCGACTGACCCTGGCACAAGGGGCATTTATACACATGCTTCAGGGTGGGGGTGTTAATTAGAGTGGCTCAGAGAGCTGCTCTACTTAAAGCGCCTGGAGCGTCATTTGTATCAGTGTCCCTGCATTGCAAATGGCAGTGGGGGTGCTTTAACTAAAGCTTGTTGAACATGCTTTAGTTAAAGTCCCCCTACCACCATTTTTCAGTGCAGGGATGCTGACACACGTGATGCTGGAGTCTGCTGGAGTGCAGAAATTACCACACTCCAGTAAACTCAATTGATCAAGTCTTCTTCAATGCACTGTATGTACAATGCGTCAGAGCAGCCACGCGGCCACATGTATTGGCACCCAAGGAGCCCAGATGCAGCCACTGTCTTTCTGGAGGGCCTGAGGTGTGTCACTTCTTGCAGCCTTCCTGCCTCAGGGCATTTTACATGTGTTCTGGGATACATGGTGGGGGTGCCTTAATTAGTGAGGCACACTAATTAAAAGTGCCCAATCGTCACGTGTATCAGTGTCCTTGCACTGAAAAAATGGTGTTGGAGTGCTCATTTGACAAGCTTTAGTTCAAAGTGCCCACCGCCATTTTTCAGCGCAGGGAAGCTGATGCACATGACACAAGTCTGCTTGAGCACGTTCATTTCCATGCATCAGGAGCCCTCAGTTCTTCTCACCATAAAGTAGAGGTAGGGATACCAGCCCACTGCTTGGAGTCAAGGGAATGCCCACATTTGTCCCCAGTTGCTGACAGTCCTGGCAATGTTGAGGCTGGTGGCTGTTGCACTTGCAGTATTGGACTGGAACTGCATAGGAGGATATCAGGCCAACACGGAGAAACCACAGCTAGATTAGATACCAGCTGGCAGCATGGTTGCTATACTGTCCCACAGCCATGCTCAGCTCCCCACACTGAGGCTGCAGTACCAAGACACAACTGCTTCTATTTAGGCATGTCACAGCCCATCCCCATGGAAAGGAACTGTGCCCTGCTCATTGCAGACCCATATGGTCATCAGGCATGAATGATTCTAGGGCCATTGTATTTGCTTACATCCAGGGCATTTTGGGAGTGTATATCATGGCACATACACAGACGCGTCCCATCAGGAGGTACACTGCGCTGTGAAGTCCCTGAACCGTGAGTATCCCTGTCCCTGTTCCCTGGCACACCCTCTTACTGCTTTTCATGGCAGCCATTCAGGAAATGCCTCCTCAAGATACCCCTCACCTGCAGAGATCCTTTTGGGCTTTGGGTGGTCTTCCCCATCTCTTGCGCTGACACTGGATTATGCTGTGTCATGACCCCAAGAAGAGCAGGGCTGTGTGTTGCTCCAGGGTTCCATGTCACCTGGAAGTGCTGAGCTGTGTGCCCTGGTTGGCTTGGCCATGGCAAGCTGGGGCAGTCAGCTCTCATTTTCAGCCACATGGTTCTGAGTGGGCACTGGGCCAAGTTTCAGCACCAGTGACACCAACCCTTCACATACTGGTACTCCCACTGCTTCCTGGGCTATGAGTCCCAATGTTGCATGGTGCCGTAGCAGAGCTGAGAGCCTGGGCACTTTACCTGTATTGAATGGTGGAGCCATACTCTGGCTTCCTTGAGCAGCTCCCAGCATGCACTGCCCAGGGACACTTTGGTACCTGGGGAAGCAGGTACAGACCTGGGTCCTGATCCTGCCTCTGAGGTCACCTCATGCCATTCTTCTCTTAGCTGTTCTGTAGTGGGGGCTGTAGCTTGGGCAGGTGGGGACTGGCTAGCCACCCCCAGAGCAGTCATCATCTTCATGGACCCCAGGCCTTGCTCTTTATGCCTTTGCCCTTGGGCCCCTGCTCTCCCTCCTGGTCTCCACAGCCCTGGTGCTTTCTGTCCTGCCAGGCCTGCCCCCAGCCATAGTGAGGTGCAACTGGCTCATAAAGCTGTGCCCAGCCCTGTGCTTCACCAGCCTGGCTTACACAGTGTCTTGGCAGGCATCACTGATGTGGAGGAGGTGGAAGAGTTCCTCAAGGAAGGTATTCTGATGAAGAGCTTCCATCACCCACATGTCCTCTCCCTCATTGGCATCTGCCTGCCCCAGGAGGGGCTGCCCCTGGTCGTGCTACCATACATGAAGCATGGAGACCTGCGGCACTTCATCCGCTCTGAGGAACGGGTAAGGGATGGGCTAGCTGCGTGGCCCCATGCCTGGCTTTCCCTTCTGGCTATGGGACTAGGAGAACTGCTACTGCTGGGGCTCACTGAGCTTCTAGTGCAAATAAAAACAACTCCGTTGGAGGTGGGGGCAACAGTGGGAGATTATAACCTCCCAGCCCTGTTGTGCCTGCAGGAGTCAGACAGCTGTGCCCTTGCAGGGCTGACTGAGTAATCAGGCCTTATTTTCACCACATGCAAAAGCAGGTGACACCAACTGGATAAGCCAGGTACAGCCTGCAGCACTCTGCCAGCTGAGCCACAGCGGAGTGAGCTCTGCTGCCCATTGGCAGCAGGACCTTTGAGCAGTTTTAGTGGGCATCACCTTCTCTGTGCTGGTACCAGTCACCACATGGAGCTGTGTCGAAGTCATGGCATGGGCCTGCTCTAGGGGCACTCTGCTGTCCAGGGGATTGCCAGCTCCAGGCTCGGCACCGAGAGGCTGAGTGATGGCTCTATCTCCACAGAACCCAACGGTGAAGGACCTGATTGGCTTTGGGCTGCAGGTGGCTCAGGGGATGGACTACTTGGCCCAGAAGAAGTTTGTCCACAGGGATCTCGCTGCTAGGAATTGCATGTGAGTATCACTGGGCACAGTACGTGGCTGGAGAGCTGCTGAATGGGCTTCCTAGCCAGTCTCTCCACAGGGAGGTGGTCCCATTCCCTTCCAATGGATTCTGCCATGGCAGCCACTGTCTCAGGAGTCATGGGTTTTTCCCCTGCCCACCTCTCTACCACCCAAAAGTTGCAGCAGTGCCAATAGTTCCAGGAAATGGAGGCTGAACCCTGGAGACCCAGGTTGAGGGCTTCCAGCTCATTTCACAAAGCTGTCTGCTAGGAGCAGCTTTGGGTGCTGCTGCCTCAAGGCTGGGTTCAGCCGGCTAACACTGAAGGGCCCTGCATGCCAAGGCCCCGTGTATGCTACCCCTATTTGTGATAGAGGGCCCCCAGGGTCCTTCGCACTCCTCAGCCCTTGGTGTGCCTCACAGGCTGGACAAGATGTTTACAGTGAAGGTGGCAGACTTCGGGCTGGCTCGAGATGTCTTTGACAAGGAGTACTACAGCATACGGCAGCACCGCCAGGCCAAGCTGCCAGTCAAGTGGATGGCCCTTGAGAGCCTGCAGATCCAGAAGTTCACCACCAAGTCAGATGTGGTGAGTGTAGAATTCACAGCAGGGCTATAGGGCAGCTCTGCTCCTGCAGACTGGCAGAAGGTCTGCAAAGAGTCCACCTGCTCCAGGCTCAGTGCCTTTTGCTGGGCTATTTGCTTCCTCATTGCCCTCCCATCAGATCCTATCCTGTCCTTTCTGCCTTCGGCACAGGCCTGGACAGGGGCTGCCTGTGTCCATCCTGCTGTTCCTGCCTGGGAGGGATCAGTGCCTCTTACCCTCCCCTTCATAGGCAGGGAATGTTTCTAGCCAGTTTGTACAGGGTTAATACTAGTGACAAGTGGTGAGTAGCATGCTTGCCGTCTGCGCAGTGTAAGGTTGCGTCTGTCATGCTAAGGTATTGCTGATACTTGGGGATTTCACACAGCCCATGGACCAATTAGAAGAGCTCTCCAGAGTTACCAAGGAGTCTTCTGGAAATGATGCAGGGCTGGCTCTGTCCTGGGCAGTGGGAACCTAAGTGAGGGGATGGTTCTGTTGGCAGGAGTGAACGCCAGTCCAAATGGGACAGATCTGTACTGCACTCTCAGCCCCCTCTAGGCCAGAGCAGGTGAAACCACTGTCAACCCTGTCTGGAGTAGGCTGAGCAATGCAACCCCAGGCAGGGCTCCCCTAAGCCCTTGTTCCACTAGTTCCTGCATGTTTAGTGAGAGTCTCTTCCCCTGTGTGGGGTAAGGGGTGTTTTCTGGGATGTACTGGGCTAGAAGGAGCTAGGGAAGGGTGACGTGTCCCCAGCTGGAGCCTGGCCCCAGAGGCAGTGTTCTCAGCTGCCTGCCTGGTCCAGCAGTAGAACAAACCCTTTTTTCTCTTGCTCAGTGGTCCTTCGGGGTCCTCATGTGGGAGCTGATGACACGAGGAGCCTCACCATACAGTGAAGTGGATCCCTATGATATAACCCACTACTTGCTGCAAGGAAGGCGCCTGCCACAGCCGGAGTACTGCCCTGACTTGCTGTGAGTAGAGAGCATCCCCACACTCACCACTCAGCCATGGCCTGGGCTTCCTGCTTGAGGGTTGCCCAGGCCTGGTGTCCCCTTTGGGATGAGGATTCTCTGCTGAAACTCTCATATACTCCAATAATTGGGACATGGTGGCCCAGGAGCCCCCCTGTTACATTCTCTCCCATTACAACTGCCCCCCTCCTACTTCCCCAGGGTATTCTCACCTCTCCCAGCTGCCAGGATCCTGCTTGCCAGTCCTCCAGAACCCTCCGGAGACTGGCACCCTAGCCTGGCTTCTGCCTTCCAGCAGCCCCTGGAATAGGGCCCTCTTCTGAGCTCCCCCAGCTGTTCAAATCCTCCCTTGGGAACTCTGGCTGTGGGGATGGAAGTAGGAGGGACTTGGTGCATAAGGACTGGGGCAGTATGCCTGATTTGTTGATGTGGGTTTGTTCCTAGTGTTCAGCTGAGCAGCCTGCCTGGGCTGGCACTGCCCAGCTGTGTAGTGGGGCTGGTTTGTGACTCTTCCTGTGCTAAGGGTTCTGTTTGCCTGGTACAGGTATGAGGTGATGCTGAGATGCTGGTCCCCGAATCCCAGTGAACGTCCAGGCTTCTGTGCCCTGATTGGGGAGCTGGAGCAGATCATGGCCTCCCTGAAGGGGGAGCACTACATCAACTTGACTGTCACCTACATCAACCTGGAGCACAACCAGCCCTTCCCACCTGCACAGGGCTCTGAGGATGAGCTGGTCTCCAGCAGTGATGGGGATGAGGCTGAGTGCTAGCAGTAGGCTCTATCCCTGCTTCACAACTCAGTGCTGGAGCCGGACCCCACTGAATGCTGGTCCCTCGAATGCAGACGGAGCAGTTCTTCCATCCCAAAGCACACTTCTGCTGCAGTCCCAGGGGCTTGGCCAGACAGTGCTGATTTCAACATTATTTTTCAACGGAGAACATTAGAGTCTATGATAATAGGATGAAATGATATTTCCCTCTATGACACTAGCAGAGTATTTTTCAAACATTCTCATGCACTGTTACAGTCTAAGGGGACAGGGGCTAGTCCTGCATAGAAAGGTTCCAGAATTTTTGTTTCCTGGGAGAGTTGTGATTCAGGCTCTAGCCAGAGGGATTTTCTTCCTGAAAAGCCAGTTTTCTTCAGAACAAAATTCAGTTCTGAGCCAGCCCTAACTAGGATTTTTCCTCTGGGGCTGACTTGCGGCAACAGCTCCAGAGATGGTCCACAACTCTTTCCTCAGTGGGGCCATGGGCCAGCTCAGGAACATCAGCAGCATGAATCCTTCCTTTCTGCACCCTCATTGCCTGCCCTACAGATGCAGAACAGCTCAAGAGCAAAAAAGACTGAGGCAGCCTCCTGCCAGGGGAGTGAATGGGCCAGGTGTCCTGAGCAGGAGGAGGCTGGAAGTACCAGTACAGCCCTTGAGGTGACAGGGAGCCTTTTTGGCTTTGCAGAGGGATGCTTGAATGTCTTAGACTGAACTGAATATGTACTTGGATATGGAATAAATGCAGGCCAGGCTGATAGTTACCTCTAACATGACTGCACAACCTGGGTGTGTGAGTGTACTCTGTCTCTCTCTCTCCTGTGAGTATGTGAGTGCATGCATACATATTTTCTGGGACAAGCTGGTCACTGCTGAGGTGAGAAAGGCCTGACAGATGCTGGTAGTAGGGCTGCAGGGGATGTGTGCTCCATCTGCATAGTTGTGGGGCTGTCCCTGGGCACTGGAAAGTCTATGTCCAGGTGGTAGGTTAGGATCTGGCCTGTCTAAAGGAGGTCTGAGAGGCCCCAGGCCCAGCCATGTTTTCCCCCTTACACACCAACCCTTGGGACAGGGGGAGCTGTGAAAATGTAAAGCTGGCCAAGCACATAGAGATGGTAGCCAGGTGGGCTTCTTCATGCAGCCCCACTGCAAGGTTCTGTGGAGCCACCTTCTTGGGGGCAGGGGGCAGCTCAGACCTCATGGCTTGGTCACCATAGTTCTCTGTGCTCAGACTATCCCTATACCTCTCCTCAGCCAGTGTGACCATGATGCTTGTCCTTGGGGTCCTATGATGCAACCTGGCAGCCTTGTATCCTTTCCCTGTGACAGCCATGTGAGGAGAGGCTGGAAGGGCAGAGGAGTTGCACTGTAGCACACCAGCCTCTTTCCATTTGAAGGCACAGGGCATGTGGCTTCCCTCCAGCACAGTGGGGGTTCATGTGTCCCTTTTTCTTCTTTCCATGCCCCTCCCACAAGCAAGCACCATAGCCAGACCCTTCCCCCTGCCTCTTCCATGCTATTCTGCCACCTCTGGCCCTGTGGTTTGGCTTGAACAATTCTTGCATCTTCTGCCCAGAGGAGGGAGTGCCAGACTGCCTATGTGCTATGCAGACTCCTTAGTTGAATGGGGCAGTGCAGGAAAAGGGGCTTCTCCGGAGTGAAGAACCCTACCCATGGTCCCTAGTGCTGTGTGCAGGGGCCACAGGAGGGGCCTCAATCTCTTCAAACCCCTTATCTCTCCAAAACTAAGCAGCCATCCAAAAAGCTGTGTTTCCTGTCACCCCTCCTCCCCACCCAAGACCCCCTTCAGGATCTTTGTAGCCAGACCCTGCAGCTAGGAGGCCAGGGAAGAAATAAAATCCTTCAATCCCAGGTCATGTCACCTCCTGGATAAATGCTTGGATTTCCCCTGATTCATCCAACAGCCAGAGGTTGAGAGCTGCTCTCCTCTAGCACTTGGCTGGGCAGATCTAGGAGCCCAGCTCTATGGCTCCTTACTTCAGGGTGCCTGTGTTTGCCTGGCTCATGCCCTTTCTAGGAAGTGAGCTCAGCAGGCTGCCACCTCAACAGGAAGTCCCTGCTTTTGAACCACACACCCTAGGAGCAGTGTGAGTGTGCAGCAGTGGCATAAGTGACTCTCCACTCCTGCAGGCCCCCTGGGCATCTCAACATGTGGCATCCTAGTTGAGCACTAGCCGGCATCTTGCTTTCTGGAGTTGCCAAGATTTCTGGGACAGCAGTGGGGGCTTTCCTGCTCTCTAGGAACTGGAAGCAGGTTTCTAGCTCTGGCTGCAGGACTTGTTTGGCATCCTGCCCTCGCTCTGACTTGGCTTCACTCTGCTCCCTCAGACCTGGGGGGGATGCTGGGGGAGGGGGGGGGGTGTCTTCTCCAAACTGGGTCTCCAGCTCTCTGCTGCTCCTGTAAGTCTAGCCCCAGAGGGTCCCCACTTAGTGTGATACCAGTTGCCTCTGGATCCCAGCTTGACAGTCTCTTAAGAATCATGCTGTTCTTACAGCCTGGCACAAGAAGTAACCCCAGATCATCACCGTCAAGGCCAGGGGAACAGGAGTGTCTTGCTTAGCTGGCCAGCCCCACCAGAGGGCAGTGTCAGCAAAGGATTGGAGGTCCATTTCCAGTTCAGAGCGAGGGAGCTGTGTTTTGGGCATGGGGTTGGACCCCTGATCTGACTTGCTCCTTGCCTGCAGTCATCACTGCAGAGCAGGGCACTGTTTCAATGGGTACAGGTGCAAATACAACCAGCACCATGCTCTAGCGCTCAGCCCGAGAGCTGACCTCCCCATTCAGTTCTCATTGGCTGCCTGGGTGCTGCTCCCATCCTGCTCCCTGTAGTGCCATGTGGGTGGAGGCAGGGAAAGTCTTGCCCCACTGCTTCCATGTGCTCCACCTGTGCTTCACAGGGATAAATTCTACCCCATGCCCTTCCAAGAGCCTTGTCCTGCTGCCCTGCATTATGGCTGCCTTGGGTGCATGAGCATCACCAGGATTTGCCACCTAAGGTGCTTTTGGAAGCAAAATCCATGGCAGTCTTCTGTGCTCTCTAGACCTCCAGAACTAGGAGCCGTCTACACCACTTCCAGGTCTGGTTGTGTAGCCACCTCAGAGAGGTATGTCTCACAGGCTGGTTAGCAGTGGTGATGGCTGAGCTAATTAGTCTGGGTGCAGCCTTAAAATCACAGAATCGTAGAAAATTTTCATTGGAAGGGACATCAGGAGCTCATCTAGTCCAACCTCCTGCAGGACCCACCCCAACTATATTGTCCTAGCCAAGGCTTTGTCTAGCCTGGTCTTAAAAACCTCCAAGAAAGGAGATTTCACAGTCTCTCTGGTAATCTATTCCAGTGTTTTACTACCCTCCTAGTGAGGAAGTTTTTCCTAATATCTAGCCTAAGCTTTCCTTGCTGCAACTTGAATTTCCCTTGTTGAAATATGCTCCTACTGCATCCAGGTTTGACAGTAGCCCACTGAAGCACAAGCTGGTTAGTCATGTTACTGTAGCACCAGGCACCATCCAGCTGTCAGCCAAGAGTCAAAGATAATTCACCCAGGCACTGCGCCCAGGTTAATTAGTCCTGCATCAGAGCAAAGGCAGCAGTGTGGTATCTGACACCTGGAGCATTTGGCAGGAGGGTGTGGGGCCAATTCAGGACAAATTTTCCAAATCTGAGACCAGTCCTGCTTTGGGGACTCCTTAGGACATAAAGACATAGACCTGAAATTCCCTGTGATGGAAACTTGAAGACAAGGGGTCTCTTTGCTCTGCCAGAAGTGCTGATGCTGGCACCTGAGTTGCCATTAACTCAGGCACCAGCAAAGAGGTGGTATCCTAGTAAGTGACAAGCTATTTCATAACTAGCCATGGGAGACACCTGCACCTTTTGCAGTGCTCCCTTTCCCCTGCCAAAGCAGCAGCTCTGCTTTAGCACAGTGTAACCCACCCTAGTGTACCTGCTCAGGGTGGGTGGGGCCCTGTAGGTGCTGCTTAGGCACCCCTGGGGCCCTGACTGCCAGAGGCAACTGAGCATCTCTCTCTCCCTGCCCAGGGCTCCCAGCCAGGGAATGAACTCATTAAGTAGCAGCCCACTGCCCAATGGGGCCTTTGCATTTCCACACTGGAGCTGCTGGTATCCCAGGTGGCCAAGAAGGCTTCCTAGAGCCCCCTGTCTGCCCCTGCCATGTGTGGTTTAAGCATGAAAGTTTGGGTGTGTGCTTATAAAGTCTCCATGGTGGGGGTGTTACATCTTCACTGTCCAATCTCACTTACTTCACTTTCCACCCCTGCGCAGAGAAAGGCAGGGCCGGCTCTTCCAGACACCCCTGTTCATGAGGCACTTGTACTGAAGCTCCCTTCCACACTTGCCCGTCACTCACTCCCACGCTCAGTGCTAAGGCACAAGTAAGCACAGAGATGCCTGCAATGTGGTTGTGGCTGGGTCTTGGAGTTCCTGTGTGGTGCCAGCACAGGATGGAGCCCAAGGGAAGCACGGGGTCCATGTGTCCAGTAGCCTCCAGGCCCAGTGCCTCTTCCTTAGAGGCACTGCAGGGCCATGTGAACGAATAATGCTCTGGAATGTGGACTGGTCTTGGAGGTAGGGATGGAGTGTTAGCAAACCTCCTTGCTAGCTGTGGGACTGGAAAACAATCATGGCAGAGGGCCAGAAGGTGGAGGGATTGGGACAGATTGGGCAGCCAGGCAGGGACCAGCTGTGAAGCAGTTCATACCATGGGTTGCAGCTCTTGGACAGATTTGTGTCCTGTAGTGGTCAGAAGGGGGAGTCCTCAGCTCACATAGCTCACAATGGTTCTTGCAGTAGTGTGGTATTCTGTTCAAGCGTGTCGTGACTTGTTGAGCAGAAGCTGGATCAGACTTTGGAATTGGGTATTGTTTTTCAGGAGAGCCTACAGCCACTCTAAAGCTCTTGGCTATAGCAGATTCTGCTGGGATTTGGCATTTTCCCTAACCACTGTTCTCTGGAGTTGGGGTTAATACCCCTGGGAGAACTCCAGGTCATATTGTCCTCAGCTAGGCTTCAGCTGGGGTGGGGGCACAGGCTGCAGGTGCCCTGGGGATTGAGCCCAATTGGTGCCCATCATGCTTCACAGGGACCTTGGTACCAAACCACGTTTCCTCTTCAGATTTCTTGAATTAACCCACTGATGTCTTCAAAAATACATAGAAATGCAGAATTCAGATTGAAACATTTAGACAAGAAACCTGAATTTTATATAATAATAAAAAACCCCAATTAAAACACAAAATGGCATTTCCTTCCCTTTTTCCTTAAGTAGGAGAAGTTGGGGTATGTGTGCTTTTATTTCTCCCAACAGTCCCGTCTGGTTGCACCACCAGCACTTCCTGGCACTTGCATGCAGCATATGGACCTTCAGGGGACGGATGTGGAGTCAAAGAGGACTTGGGAGACAGAACCAGCAGGGCTGTTGGAGAGCCTGAATGAACCCAAAGTGCTTAGCAAATATGCTTGGAGAAGGAAGGACCCTAGACATTCTGACATGTTCACATAGGAGCAAATAACTTGCAGGGGTCCCCCAGACACCTACAATATGGAAAAACCCTAAAACAACAGAGGTGGAAACTTTGGAACCTGACTCCCATATGCTAAGGGCAATGCTCCATCCCTGGCACTGGTGATGCCTGTCCTGGGGCTAAGGGGCAGAGGCTTCAGCGAGGTGGGAATGGCTCTCCAGTGCATGACATGTGGGTCAGTTGTTTTACAGGTTCCTCCAGCCATGCCACATGAGACTAGGGATGGAGAAGAAGTGCTGCTGCCCCAGCCCCTTTTCCCTCACTCCTTATCCCAGAAGCAAAGTGGGAACCCAGCATACCTTTTCCAGAACCAGCTCTATGTCCTCTGTCCTGTTAGCTCCTCACTTACCTATGCCAGAGCCAAGCCCTGCAGTGTTTAGAGAATAAGGAGTGCCCAGGTATAAGGAGTGCCCAGGGCAGCAACCAGAGCAGCAGAAACAGGAGGGACAACTGGGGGGCAATACATTCCTACCCTGCACTTGCACTCCCACCTCCCCTGTGACTGGCCTCTGGCAAAGCTCTCTGCAGTCTCTTCTGCTGTTTCCCCTCAGCATGGTGCTCCAGTAGCAGCCATGTGCACACGTCACTAGAGGCTGGGACGACAAGGCCACACACCAGTCGGGGACATATGCTATGTTGCCCCAAGCACTGGAGAGTGGGGACCAGTTCAGCCCGGGACTGTGCATCAGGGCTAAGGCTTGGGGCTTCTCTTGTGGTGATACCAAACATCACAGGCTGGTGAGTCATAACCACATTTTCAATATATATATATAGAGAGAGAGAGAGCCACAGGGCCTGTCTTCATTCAAGAGCTTCTGCTCCAAATCCCCTTGCTATCTCTGCTGTCCTACAAGGGATTCTGGGTGTCCTACATGAGCTCCCTGCTTCTCTCCTGTGTTCCAACCTGGGGACAGACAAGCCAAGGAGCACACAGCTGCTTTGCCTGACCACTACCCTCCCAGGTGCTCTTGAAACAAACCCAGTGCAAAATCCCATTAGTAGACAACTGATAAAGCCTGTGAGCTTGACTTACCACAGAACCAAGTCTTGGGTATGATCACACTCTGCTGAAGCCACCCTGCAGTCCAAACTCATCCACACTGAGCTTGGGATATGCGGCCCACTTGCCCAGTGTAGCTCCCAGCCTGTCAGCCTTTCTCCAGAGCTAGCACTCCAGCAGGTTCAATACTCAGTTCCTTCCCCTGGAGCCCTGTTGCTGGGATACAGAGCCTAGGCAGCTCTGAATAAGGGTGGAGGGCTCAGTCCTGCTAGCCCTGGTACTGGTGGGAGTGCCAGCAGCAGGGGGTTGCTCTGGCAAAAGTAGCTGGGAACCACCAGTTCAGACTTAGCCTCCTGGAGACTGCCTTGCCATGGGGCCTGGCTGGCAGGCAGACCAGCCTCCCTTACTGAAGTTTAACCCAGGATCCTAAGAATAATACTATGGAGCATGAAATAGCAGCACAGAGGACAGCTTTTCTCCAGTGTGTTCAGCAGAGCCAAGGAAAAGCAAAGACTTTGACAGGAGATGCTGGTGAGCCAGAGAAGCTTACTGCCTGCATCCTTAAGGCCAGGAGCTCCCCAATGGGCTGGTTATGGAGCTTAGAGAGACCAGCCAGGCATGCAAGTCAGGGACCAGGATTTCAGCTTCCTGCTTTAGAGAACAAGCCAGCCCTACCCATGGGCCCAGGAAGGAACAGGTTGGCCCATGGCTGCCTCCAGCCCAGGGTTCTACCTCTTTCTTGCAGCTGGTGCTGGGCCCCTCACAGA